AACCCCCTTGTAACAGGGTAAGGGCAAGTACACACACACACACACACACACACACACATACACAAAAAAAAAGTTGGTCTTCCTATCTAAATGGGGACCGTCCATTCATTTCTATGGAAAAACCCTAATCCCAATCACGACACCCTTAACCTCTATCCAACCCTAACCTTAACCATAAGTAATCAACCCAAATACAAGACTTTTGGCATTTTTACTTTTTTGATTGCATTCACAGATGTTTATAAATTGAGGTTATCCAAATGGGGACCTCAAAAGATGTCCCCAAAAGTTTCAGGTTTTACTACACTTTGGGGACAATTTGGTCCTCAAATGTGATCTACAGTATGCAAACCCACACACACACACAAAAATATTGCCAAAAGTATTGGGACACCCCTCCAAATAATTAAATGCAGGGGTTCCAATCGCTTCCATAGTCACAGGTGCATAAAAGTCAAATACTTCATGAGTCAATAGCTACAGACCTCCAAACTTCATCTGGCCTTTACATTAGCTCAAGACCAGTGTGGGTTTCCATGGCTGAGCAGTTGCATCCAAGCCTTACATCACCAAGTGCAATGCAAAGAATCAGATGCAGTGATGTAAAGCACGCCACCACTGGACTCTAGTGGAGTGTAGTGCAGTGGAGACATGCTCTCTGGAATGACAAATTATGTTTCTCTGTCTGGCAATCCGATGGACAAGTCTGGATTTGGCAGTGTCACACCCGGATCGTGCCGTTCGTCCTGTGCCACGCCCCTTGTTAACCTCATGTGGATTCCCAGTGTTTATCAGCTATTTTGAGTTGTCTTTGTTAGTTCTTCACTAGTTCTGTCATTGTAGTGTCGTGTAGTATTGTGCATTGTTACACTGTCTGTTCCTTATGCCCCTTTGGTTTCCCATTAAATCCTTTTATTTTACCCCAGTCCTTATCCCCCTTGCCTGTTTCCCTGGTCTGTGCGCCGCATCTCATGACAGAATGACAGAACTCTAAAAACGAGGTTACCTACTGGCTCGCCCAGCCCGAAGTCCAGGAGGATCCCCTGCTTCGGGCTTTAGCCTACCGGTGCAGGGACATATTGGAAGCAATGTCCCTGCCCGGAGACGCTCACCTGGCCGGGGAGGTGCGTAAAAATCTGCAGCGGCTGAGACGCGGGGTGGCTTTGGCAAATTTAAAGCAGGAAGCCACAGCTCGTGGCTTACCTTTTGGTCAGCTGTCGGAGCTGCCAGAGGTGCCCGCAATTCTGTCGAAAGCAGCAAGCCGGAAAAAGCGGAGAAAACAAAAGCAGGAAGATGTACAGGAGGTCTTTCTGGGGGCTGTCTCTCTCTCCGCTGCTTCCTCGGCCGGGTGTTGGGAGGACCCCCTCCCGATTCTGAACCCGGCGGTATTCGTGCCAGCAAACGCTTGCCCCGACCGTCCGCCCGCCGCTTCACTGCCCACATCGGCAGCGCGCCCATTTTTGGGGAAGCGCCTGGCCCTTAAAGGGGTCAGGTCCATTTGGGACGCTATCCCGCGGGTTCCCCAGTTCAGGAAGCGGACGGTGCCCGATACCGGGGCACGAACCCTGACTCTGCCCCCCATGGTTCCCGTGCTGGCTGTTCCCGCAGCGCCCCTAGTGGTTCCCATGCCTGCAGCGCCCCCTGTGGCTCCCCTGCCTGCTTCGTCGCTCAAGGTCCCTGCGCCTCCTGCTTCGTCACCCGAGGCCCCAGCGCCTCCTGCTTCATAACCCCCGTGGTTCCTGAAGTTCCTGCCCAGTGCCCCATGGTTCCTGAAGTTCCTGCCCAGTCCCCCATGGTTCCTGAGCCAGCAGCTTATGTGCCGTCCCCCGTGGTTCCTACTTCATCCCCCAGAGTTCCTGCTCGGCCCTCGAATCCCATCCCCAAGGACATCCCTGATCCCCCGGACCCTACTCCCATGCCCCCAGTCCCAGTCCCTGAGGAGGAGGTCCCCATCTGTCAAACTATCGCTCCTCCTCCCTTAGTGGAGATGGAGGAGGAGCTTGAATAGGACCCCTCAGGGATAACCCTGACCTCCCCAGTGACTCCTCCACCATCACCCCAGCGTGGCAGGTCCTGGCCGGGTCCCCACCTCTCAGTCTCCCAGAAAGGGAGGGGACACCCGGACCGGGGTCGGGTCCCGCCTGCCCTGCCCCCCTGGCTCGCCTTCGGTTCCGCTGGCTGTGACTCGGCGGTCGCCTTCAGTCCCCCTGGCTTTGGCTCGGCAGTCGCCTCCGGTCCCGCCTCCGGCGCCTCGTTGGTTGCCTGCAGGTCCCCCGTCTCCAACTCGTCGTTCGCCTACGCCTTAGCCGACGGCGGCTGTGCCTTCGACTGCCACGGCTGCTGCTTCCTCCTCCCCTTCACCTGTGTCCAATTCTTCTTCCTCCTTGCCCCCTCCGTCAGTCCCTCCGCCTTCCTCCTTGCCACCTTCGGCGTTCCCTCCTGCTCCCTCCTCACGCTCGCCGAGGGTCCCTCCGGCTCCGGCCTCACGGGGCGGGGGGGGCTGTTCTGTCACACCCTGATCGTTCCGATCCTCCTGTGCTACGCCCCCCTCGTTAACCTCATGTGAATTCCTAGTGTTTATCAGCCGTTTCGAGTTGTCTTCATTAGTTTGATGTATTTAAGTCCATGTCAGAGTGTGTTTCCCTAGCTCTGTCATTGTAGTGTTGTGCATTGTTACGCTGTCTGTTCCTTATGCCCCTTCGGTTTCCCATTAAGTCCCTTTATTTTACCCCAGTCCTTATCTCCCTTGCCTGTTTCCCTATTCCGTGCGCCGCATCGCATGACAGGCAGTTGCCAGAAGAACGGTACTTGCCTGACTGGATTGTGCCAAGTGTAAAGCTTGGTGGAGGGGGGATTATGGTGTGGGATTGTTTTTCAGAGGTTGGTCTTGGAACTCTTAATGCTGCAGCATTAAAAGCCATTTTGGCCAATTTCATGCTCCTAGCTTTGTGGGAACAGTTTGGGGATGGCCCCTTCCTGTTCCAACATGACTATGCACCAGTGCACAAAGCAAGATCTATAAGGACATGGATGAGTGAGTCTGGTGTGGAGGAACTTAACTGGCCTGCACAGAGCCCTGACCTCAACCCACCTTTGAGATGAATTAGAGCAGAGATTGTGAGCCAGGCATTCTCGTTCAACGTCAGTGCCTGACCTCACAAATGCTCTCCTGGAAGAATAATCAAAAATTCCCATAAACACACACCTAAACCTTGTGGACAGACTTCCCAGAAGAGTTGAAGCTGCTATTGGTGCAAAGGGTGGGCCAACTCCATATTAAATCCTATATATTAAGAATGGGTTGTCATTAAAGTTCAGGTGTGTGTAAAGGCAGGTGTCCCAATACTTTTGGCAATATAGTGTATATATTCCCAGTCTTAATGGGTTGGTAATTAATTCATTTGTTATCTGTGTGTGTGTGTGTGTGTGTGTGTGTGTGTGTGTGTGTGTGTGTGTGTGTGTGTGTACTGATAACGAATGAATTAATTACCCACCCATTAAGACTGGAAATGTGGAAGGAATGTAATGGTTACCCACATCTGCCGGCCAAATAATAACATGACAGATATGGGAGGGAGGGAACCTGAAAATAACGTAATGGTAAGAAGGAAAGTTGTGTAGTATCTTAAGTTATATTTCATCCCATGCAATTCAGAATAACGAAAAGAACACGAAAGTTTTTAGAAAACCATACATAGATTGATTGACTGATTTACGACCTTCTTCGCATTTAAACTTTTTTGGTTATTTACCGCAATACTTCGGTATGGCATTGCTTTGAATGATATAACAGATTTGTATTAGTATGTTTGCATATTTGCCTCGGGGGGCGGTAACGTAGCGCAGACCGAGCCGCGACTCTTTACACGTAAATACGTAATACTGGTTACACGTCGGCATGTGATATTTATGATGTCCACAGGGGGTCAGCATTGGATACTTTTAGACTTTATTGAATCGTACGGGCATAAACATAAACACTGACAGCTGTCAAATGTGTGACATCCCGTTGTGTTGAACTCTTGGTTTCAAAAATATAAGCAGTGTAATACGCAATAATATATTGTTGTTGTTATCGAATACAAGCGAACAGAAATGTAACAACATCCATCCATTTTCTGAAATCGCTTAATCCCACCTGGGGTCGCGGAGGGGACCGGATCCTTTCACGAGAGCAATGGGCACACGCAGAGCGCACACATTCACACAACTACAGGGCCAATTAAGACACCAATCAACCTACCCCGCACGCTTTTGGACCGTGGGAGGAAACCGAAGCCCCCGGCAAACACGGGGAAAGCGTGCGAACTCCACACAGAAAGGATCCGGGACTGAACCCAGAACCTTCTTACTGTGAGGCAGCAGCGCTTAACCACTGCGCCACCATGTAACAAAATTGTTTTTTTTTTAGAAAATAATAATAATAATAATAATAATAATAATAATAATAATAATAATAATAATAATAATAATAGAATGGTGTAGTAGAAGGTAATCAAAATAAAAAAGAATGTGTATATGTGTATAAAAACAATATGAATCTATGTTTAAATCTATACATAAATCCAATGCATTATAAATGAATAATATTATGGATATTGTCACTGTTTCTGAAAATGGTTTCGATGTTTTTCATAAAATGTAACCTTGATTTTTTTCTTTACTGTATTAGGTTTGATAAACAAATATTTTGTGTAGCTAATCTTTACGGATTTTACACTTTTGTTTATTCTTTATTGTTAAAGTTTCATTCATAATTAAAAATTTACAGATTAGCCTATATGGTTAAGGTTAAAAGACAGACATTTTTAAGAAAGTGTTTGGTATACGTTCCGAAACCCGTCTGTTATGAACCTTTCATGTTCATAAGTGAATTTTCTAACAGTTTCTACTGGCCCCTTATTTACAGGGACTCGGCTCAGCTGACGAATTTAAAACTGTCAAAAGTGCGCGTCCCTCCCCGGCTAGTTATGTTAATCAGCCGGTCTTCATTGGGTGAGGGTGAGGTTTTGGCCCGGCTTCATGCTGCGACGTCACCCAGAGGAGCCTTAACAGGAAAAGCGCCACTGGGAAGAGGCTGAGATCTGCGCGGCGCAGGACAGAAGGTGCCAGCACTCCGCAAATTCGCCTTCACCTTCGCTTGCCTGGAAACCGGACCTACAAATAAGATTATTTGCGACAAAGGCTCGAATACATCAGGTTTTGTTGTGCTTACAGGTATTATGATTATACGCCTTTTCCCGCAGAAATAACTTGATTTCCAACTTTTTTGGATGGAAAGAAATCTGCCACTTTAATTACCGTTAGACTTTAATCACCTTTCATTTTCTTGACAGCCGAGGATCCTGATGTGATTTATTTGCATTAAGTTTTCTATTTGCTTACTGTTCTTTATGCAGTCTTACTGCTGTTAGACTGCTTTTGAGCTTAAAAAACTTCTTCTTTTTTAAGAGTTGGCGCGCCGACAAGACTAATACAGTAAAGTGCATTAGAAAGAGGGCAAACTTCGCGAAGCAGAGGCGGCATGACTGCGGAGATCAGCATGAGCTCAGCACACATTTTGGACTATGTCAATGACTTTGATTTCGTCAAGTTCGACGTGAAGAAAGAAGCGTTAATCGGTCTGGACACTGTCTCCGTGCGGCAGTGCAACAGGATCCAGCCGCCGGGGTCTGTGTCCTCCACCCCGGTCAGCACTCCTTGCAGCTCCGTGCCCTCTTCTCCCAGTTTCAGTCCGACAGAACAGAGGAATTACGTGGACGAGCTTTGCTGGCTGCCCAACACCACCTATAACCAGCAGATAGATCCCCAGACGCTGGGCCTGACACCAGAGGATGCGGTCGAGGCCCTCATCGGCAGCCACGGTCACTCTCCACTTACCAATATCCATCAACAGCTTCACCCAGGGGACTATGAGGGCTACAGGGCACTGCAGCACCACGCTCACGTCCATGCGCAGAAACACCAGCAGCAGTACCTGGGCGTCAGCCATCCTCGCTCTGAGGAGCTGCCTCATCACCCAGGGCCACACACCCATGTACACGGCCAGAACCAGGACCACAGCCCGTCTCCTGACTCCTCGCTTCCCCACGCACAGTTTCACCATCGCCATAACCAGCACCCTCAGCAGGGCCACCATAGTAGCGGAGGGGGCATGAATGTGGAGGAGCGTTTCACAGATGAGCAGCTAGTGTCCATGTCAGTAAGGGAATTAAATCGGCACCTGCGGGGCTTCACCAAGGATGACGTGGTCCGCCTGAAGCAGAAGCGCAGGACCCTCAAGAATCGCGGCTATGCTCAGTCCTGCCGGTACAAGCGAGTCCAGCAGAAGCATGTGCTCGAACACGAAAAGACTCATCTATTAACCCAGGTGGAGCAACTCAAGCAAGAGATCAGCCGTCTGGCCCGGGAGAGAGATGCCTACAAGCTGCAGTGCGAGAAGCTGGCAGGCTCCTGCGGCTTCCGCGACGGTGAATCCGCCAGCGACAGCCCGTCCTCCCCGGAGTTCCTCTGTGATTTAATCTGACGGGAAGATGGCGATCAGCGCTACAGTGATCCCCCGGTTCACTGAAAGCCGTTTTTTCTTCATCTGACAGCCGAAATATAGTGAAGATGGGAGTGTTTCTCAAAGTAGCAGCCCATTGCACGGCACTTCTGCAATTACATGAGGGTTACTCTACGCAAAGAAAGTTTTCTAGCACTGGCGAGCCTGGTCAGAGTAATTCCCTGGAGAATTATGGAAACGCATTACGAAAGACCCGATGCTCAGATCCAAACTGCATTTTCGCCGTGGACCCAGTTTGTAAGCCTCATTGAGAGAAACTTCTGGGACGAGGGACATTTAAGCTAAAATTATTTGCCTGCTTGGTTACATAGAAGCATTTTAAAATATGCATAAAATATTATTCCTGCATGCTGGACATGTATGGTGAAAATCTATTTTGTACATTTCGTTTGTCTTTAATGCATATCCTTGATCTGAACCTTAAATTGCAACATTGCCTTTTCTGTTGTGCCGTTGCACATTTTTTGTTTATTTAGTTTGTAATTACACGCTACACAAACATCAAACGAGTATTTTAGTGCTAGATGCAAATTTTGTATTTTTTAAAATATTTCCAAAACCTATGCCAAAAAACATCTGTTTATTTTGGCATTTATTTCACAAAAAAAGTAACTAGTTCTGTTAATTTCACTTTTTGGTGTGTCATTAATGGTTTGGGAGGCTGTCGTTTGTGTTATTTTAAAAGGGAGTTAAACAACCAGGAATTTAGTTAATTAGTTCCGTTTATGTTTAGAGCAGAGGACGTTCTAGCTACTGAAATGATCAGGGGCTAAGTCAAGTTTACCTGGGGTTTGACTTTTTTTTTTTTTTTTGAAGGAAGATAATTGGCATGGGGGCTAAAATACTCGGAGCCATCCTGCAGAGATTTTGTATTAGTGGCCGATTAAGTCTTACTTATACATACATATCAGACACATTTTAATATTAATGCGCCGTTGAAGACCTATTTCAATTGAGATACCTCAATGAATATAACAGTTTATGGCATTTCATTTATTTTAATCATTACGTTAAACGCTTATCATTATATAGGCCTACGTTTCCAGGAAAAACACACAACAGCGGCCCTGGTTATAAATATGGTATTTCTACTAATGCAACATGATACCAAACATTAAAGTGTCTCTATGGGGCATAGCAGCCCTGCGTCAGGAATGTTAAATAATCGTTTTTAAATACTCAGTAGAAAGTTTTGTGTGTTTCTGTGTTTTTTTTCTGCCGGTCAGTTTAAAGAAAATGTTTAGAGAATGTTATGGGTATATCCTATGATCATGTAATTCCTTTCGTATTATCTTTATCTTTGGATATTCTGGTTCTGCTGGCCAGATACATAGTTAATTAAAACAATCAAACAGAATGATCTTAATGGAGACAGCATGCTGTTTGCAATCGTATTTTGACGAGTCGCGGATATATTCAACCTCGTTACTGATTCAACGGTGTTGAAATCAGGTTTGAACTGCAGCTGCGGTTTCGCTTGGTAATTTTTTGTGTGTTGCCTTTTAATCCTGTTTATATATGAAAAAACGTTGATTTGGAGTATTATAGTTAAGTTCAGACTGGTTTCTGTTTTATCATATATTTCTTTGTTTTCAGAAGAAATTGTTTCCTATTTTGCATAATAAAGTCATATCAATGACGCACTGTTCTGAGAAGTATTTACTTCTGTTTTTTTAAAAAAACGAATCGTAATATCTTGTTCCGAATATTAACTCGGGTCACGATTTAATAATTTTCCACCAAAGCAATAATAAATCAAAATGAAAATATTCTAAATCCTCACAAACGACCAAACTTTATTCATTCGGAGGCCTGGAAACAGGCTTTGACTGACTTAAAAAACTGCAGAATAAATATTGGTATTAAAGATAAGTTTTATTACATAACGTACACGTAATGTTTTTTTCCCTCGATTTTTGGCAAATGGCTGTTCATGCGGCTTAGTAAAATTGCGGCCCCTCTGTGGCGATGGCGTTATCTCAGCGCTGCCCTGCTGACGCGCGCTTTAAGCGGCAGGCGGCACCGCAAGGGGATCTTTGACCTGAAAACACCGGGAGTGAGACTATCTAATTGCTCAGGGAAGCTGCTGTTTAAAACACAGCTAAAATACCATATTTTGTTGTATGTTCAAATGATACGCTGCCAAGCTGCTACATAAGTTTAATCTTAGGTGCCACTTTATAAGTTGACAGTTATCAGAATGCTGTACTAACATCGGCACATCTTGGTAATCACTTTACGCAAGACGAATATATGCTGTAACTGCTATATTTAAGAACTATTTTCCATAGCTTCCTTTCTATGAAAATATTATGGGCTGTAGCCGCACTTGGATGTCGCAAAGCAGATAGGGTGTGACTACGGGAAATGTCTACGGATCGAGGAACAGCCACCCTCATGCGGCTTAGTTACAGACCAGTCGGGCTTGTTTCCCAGCGTGAATTATAGATGGGAGACGGCGGGCTTGCATGCTCAGAAATTATTATTTTTTCTCCTTACATGATAGCTGCCATAGTAGCCATTATTGGTAATAAAGATTATTTTAATTTTAGAAGTACAATCTCAGAATAAAGGGTGCCAGTTTGTACCTTTGCTTGTCATTGGGCCTGTGCCCTCAAGAGTCTGTCAGTTTTACCCTTAGCTGTAGTTAATTGTACCTTTTAAGGTACACAAATGAATTCTGGGGAACATTTCTGTACCATTTATGGTTAATTAATGCTGTTTGTACCTTTGGGATGTTCCTCAGAGTCCATTTCTGTACCTTAAAATGTCCAGTTTCAGGGGTACAGCCCAAGTGAAAAGCATTTTTACCATTTTTTCTGAAAGTATAGTTAGTGTTTACAAATATGCTTATTCTTAAAACAACACTGTGATTTAACTCCAGTGTGCTCTCTACACATTCTTGTTGTTATGTTGCAGTTTGGTCTCACATAGACACACACTCACACATATGCGCGCGCACACACACACGGGTGGACTGGCAACAAAAAGCAGCATGGGAATTTGTTGTTAAGTGGCCCCTTTTTTGTTGCTGATGGGGGGGGGGGTGATGGTCCCCCTTGGTATAGCTTGGTGGTCTGGCCCTCATTAGACTGACCCACCAGCACCCAAACTTCCCGATTGTCAGTGTGCATATGCAGTCACACATGCATGCACACATACACTTGCATGCACGCATGCATGCACGCACACACTCACACATGCATGCACACATACTGTACACTTGCATGCACGCACGCATGCACTCACATATGCACGCACGCACTCACACTTTTATGCACACATACACTCATATATGGACACACACATGCATGCACACATACACACGCATGTTTGCTCTTTGTAGGAGCAGCAGGAGCATAGGAGGCGAAGGGGAGTCCTCTGTGACTTCTTGGGGGTTTTAGCGATTCCAGTGTGGGGACATTATGTGCAAAATTGCCGCTTGTCCTCAGGGACATGCTGTGGGGTCCCTGGCAGACACATCACCTTGAATCCCAGCCTGCTTCTGAAATCTGGAAAGTTCTTCTGAGCGGTAGCTCCATAGTCGGACTGCAGCCAAGTCACCCACCTGGAGAGGATCCACGTTTCAGCTTGCAGGTCACCCTTCCCCTCTTTCCAGAAAAGCTCATTAGCCATGATGCCTACTCTAGTGATGAACCTTCTGAAACATGTTAGAGGACAGTGCCAACTGGCACTGCGATTCCAGCTTGGGCCAGCAGGTAGTGTGGTGGTTAAGAGCGCTATTACAGGTTTGGGGAGTTTCCCGTCAGTCTTGTGCCACAGCAGTTAAAATATTTAGCTGCTTTAATGTGGAAGAAAGTAATAGGTTTGGATAAAAGTGTTGAGGGTAAGTAAGTAAAACCAGCGCAGAGCCTGCGGATGGAGGAAGTGGAGCGAAGGGGCGGGAGAGTGTGGCAGGGGGTTAGGATTAAGGAAAGAGAGTCGCTCTTTGTCGCACTTTGGTGTGCAGAGCATCATGTACGTGACCAGCTGTGAGCTCCACTAATAAACACACAGACACACTCATATATAATGCATACAGGTGATTCCCAGGTTAAGAGCGTCAGTCTTACAGACAGCTTGTACTTATGAATGCACTGCCATAAAGTCTATCATATTAAAAATTCAGGTTAAATGGACACATACACTACTTTGTGTAATGTATTATTATTTTTCCGACTTACTACTAATTTGGCTTAAAGACACACTTAGGAACAGATTTTGTTAATAACCTAGGGACTACCTGTACACTCAGTTTGTATGTGTCGTATGGTTAAAACAAATAATTTATTTGTGTATTTTTTAGCGTATAAAAAGACTGTGAACAGAATGCTGATATGAGCTGATACTCATGATAATCACACGCACACATTCATACGCACACAGATGGACAGAAACATATATATGAGCCTGTGAGTTAGTGTTTGCTCTTTGGGTCTTTGTGTGTTGGCCAGGAGACCATGTAAGATTGGACCTGCTTGGATGTTGCAGCACATTTTGATTTGCATTGCGCAGGTTATTCTCTGTGTGTGTCCGTGCGACAGCACGACTCGAGTCTGTGTTCTTTTTTATCCCAGATACCCTCCGCACAGCACATCTTCCTCAGACTGGAGTCAGATCCAATATCCAGCCTGTGGTTCCATTTCCTGTGTCTGTAATATTATCAGAGGTCCCACTGGTTTGTGACCTTGAATGTCAATAATGGTTGATCATCATGCGTGAAAGTCCAGACCTGTCAGTTTACCTTTCCTTCATTTATCCCCCATGAGACTGAGGCGCAAGTCATCTGATGGCTTCAGAGGCTTGACCAGTGTTGTGGAATATCTCAGCGTTCCAGTGTAACCCCGTGAGATTCTGGAATCACTCAACATTCCGCTGCACAAAAACAACGCGAGACGTGCTGTATACGCTGATGGGTAGGGTAAATCTCCGGCTATTACATTACATATGGGACTTACGGTCAGCAAGGCGTGCCTCTGGAGTGCAAGCAGCAGACAGGTCAGAAGTGAGACGTGGAATCTGACGCTTGGCTGAAGATCTAAATGTGTGTAACAGCGGGAGGCCTGAGTGCTGAGTGAAGGATCTTCCTGCGTCGTTCTGAAATGTCGCACACATGGCTTAAACATACTAATTTTCCCATGTTTAAGTGAGAATCTGTGCTTTTGTGGTTGAAGTATTTGGCTCTAGGCTAGACTTTAGCACCGGGGGCAGACCTAAATGAGACCAGAGTCAGTAGCTCGTGACGTGGACCACCCAGGTTCTTTCTATGCCGCATGCTCCTGCGGTGACAGGCCTCGCGGCCTGCCTGGCCGTCCCCCAGCCTGGCTTAGGTGGTCGGTGTACTTTGCAGGCTGCGCAGGTCACCCGAGCGACGGATCATAAAGCCTGGTTGGCTCCTGTTCCAGTAATTCCCGAATGAGCTGCCTTTGCCCTCCCAGCTGCCCACATCTGCTCGTGGTTTGGAGGAGCAGCTCTGCATCCCGCCTGCCGCCTTTGAAGTGCAGCCTGTTGGGTTCGGTTCGGCCCGTCTTAGAATCATTCACTTTGGGTTCTTACATGCTATAAAAATAAGAAAACTGAATTGTTCGGGACAGTAAGGAAAGCAGGAGCCTCCATCCCGTCGCCTCTGTTCCGTCCTGAGTGCAGCATGCTGACACACGCGATAGTGAGCATCACGTCGCACGCCACTGCCTGGGTCGCCAGACACCTCCCCTCCGTGCCTCAGGCCAAACTCAAAGTCACTCAGTGGTTGCGATCGCTTTCAAGGGGCAAGGTGAACGAAAAGCACGTCTGTCTGCGTGTATGTCAGTTTGTCTGTCTCTCTGTCTGCCAGTCTGTTTGTATGTCTGTCTGTCTGTAGTGGGGACAGTTGTGTGCAGCCGGTGGTGGGTCACTTTTCCCGGGGGTGCACCCTGAACTGGAAAATAAAGACACCCTGTATGATTCCTGGAAGGAGTTCCTTGCCAGGAATCAGCGGGGTTGTGATTTACAGCAACTCAATAGGCAAAATGTCACATGGCACAGAAACGCCTGCAGCACTCTGGGTGAGGTACCATTATTCACAATAACATGCGTATTATTCAGCCCGAAAGTAAACAGGCTCACCAGTGCATTTGTCACTATTTTCTCTCACCCTCTTCGCTCATTTACATTATTTAACAGACACTTTTATCCAAAGTGACGTGCAGCTGGAAAAGCAGGGACAGCCAGTCCCTGGAGCAGCTGGGGTTAAAGGTCGTGCTTAAGGGGCCATCAGTGAAATCACTCTAGTAAGAATGGGATTTGATCCAGCCACCTTCTGATCACACTCTCAGCGTCGTAACCCTTTGAGCCGCACATCCTGCACCCCTTATGTTCTGGCACCTCCGCTTTTGTTGTGTTAATAATTTATTACTTAGCAAAAGGCTGCTTAATAGCATGGCAGAGCGGGGTGTCTGTCTCCTGAAGCTCCTCCCCAAACACTCCCTTGGTGTGCCATCCCCGCTGTGTGCTGTGGAAGAATGCGTCCTCCCATCCAGGGGTACCTCAGGGCCGAGAGGCTGCCAGTCCACATGAAAGGGGCCCTGGCAGGGAGGCATGGAACAGGGGCTCAGCCAGGCCGGACGGGTGGGGGGGAGGGCTGAGCAGGGGCCTTCCTGCA